AAAATTGTAATATAAGTTTAACATAACAGCAAATGTACAACGTTTCGACAAGTACCTGATGATGACAAAACCTTTTTCGAAACGTTGTATATTTGCTGTTATGTTAAACTTATATTACAATTTTCTTCATTACCCATTCAAGCCGTCTCTAACCATCACTATCATCTTTTGCACGTATTCGTTTACGATAGCTCTTCCATTCCTGGAGTCACTAGTAACCCTCCTCTGAACCCTTTCTAACAAGTCAATACCTTTTTTTAGATATGGATACCAAAACTAAACTCATTACTCTAAGTGAGGCCTAACTTTTGATTTGTATAAAAATATGATTACCTCTCATGGTGTTTGTAAATACACCATATAATTTTATTAGCTTATTACTAACAAGAAAACATTGCTTCAATGGCTTATCCACACAAAATACTTTTCTTCTGTCACACTGTTTATTGGTTACCTATCTATATCAAATGTATAATCCACACTATAATAACGTAAGTTCATTCATCACCTTGCATTTACTATAATTAAAGGCCATTCGACAAATATATATCGAAATCACCAATTGAATGAATTCATTTTGTAATACCCCAACATTACTCGGTACAGCTAGAAATACCCAAGAGTTTAACATCATCAACAAATTCACTAATTATGCCCTATCAATGTCATTAATGTAAGTGAGAAAAACCAAAGGTCCAAGCACTGACCTCTAAAATACTCCTCTAGTAACAAGAGTGCAGTGCAATTGAACTCCATTAATAATAACCTTTTGCTCTGTCCCATCTAAACACCTTACAGTCCAATTAACTAGTCTTTCTCCAAACCCTAAAATGTAATTTCCTTTGCTTTTGCCTCACCTTATCAAAAGCTTTTTTGAAAATCTAAATACGTCAATTCCACACTGTTTCCATCGTCCAACTAATAAGTAACATCCTAGAAAAAGGTAACAGATTAGTAAGGAAGATTTCAATTTGGCGAATCCATATTGTCTTTCATTTGTGATACCAAATGTCAATTAATTATTTTTGCAAAGCTTCTTTTATCATACTCTTTAGAATATTTCCCATTACAAAAGTAAGACTAACTTGCCTATAATATTAAGAACAACTTTTATGTGTCTCTTTTAAAATAGGGATAACTGTTGTCGGATACCTGTCCACTGTCTATTCATTTATCAAAAATGAAAGAGAGAGAGACAGAGAGAAATGCTCACGTATATGATGACTGACCTTCTTTAATTAAAACCCTGAAAAAAACATTGTCTAGCCCTAGAGTCATGTCAATTATTAATCTCTCAGTCTTTATATTACGAACAAGGAACTGATATTAACACGATTTAGATTAATTCCTCTATTCCCATATGTGAAATATACTATATTATTTCTTTATGTAAACTTTATTTACAGTATTGATTATCATAGTTAGTATATCTGGTTTTATGGTTTTTATTATAGAGATTGTTTTGCGTGGGTATCTCAATTTGTAGAATTGGGACTAGTCTAAATTTCCTAAACTGAACGAACTTTGTGAGATAACATTGGGTTTACAGCCAAAAATATCGAAGGTACTCAACTTATGACACAACCCATTATATTATTTATTAGTTTGTATTGATGGCAAAGGTATTACAACTATCTGCTACCGTCCTTAATTTTGAATTAATCACAAGATGGTAGACAACCAGTTAACAGTATAATACTATTCACCATCCAAGCTAAGGGATGGACTGTTACTTTTATAACGCACCTGAATAAAACAGTGCATTCTAATCTTTATAAGAAAGAACGTAAGACGAATTGATTTTATTAGCTCTACTTATTGTTGGGTTAATTTATGGTTTCGATTTAAGTAGGTAGCTTGCTTTGATCAGAAGGTA